ATATCGACAAAGAGGTTGAGTAAGCAGGTCTACTATGAACAGAGAAAGAGCACGATATTACAAAAACACGTGATGAGTGATTTGATACTTGTTGAAATCCGAATATGGATCAACAATACCGATCGTGAGTCCGTTAGTCGGCTGCTTGCAGAAACTAGGGAAGACGAAAGTGCCTCCTTGAGGCTGCCCTGACTGCGTTGGCAACACAGTCTTTGCTTTCCCGCCTGCCAGAGTTTTCGCAGTACTAATTACACAAACAGCAACAGTTAGGAAGTGGAAGCTGAACAAGACGTTTTGAATAGTTATTTTGCTGCCCTGTGCAAACGAGAAAAAAAGTGCCGAGATATAACAAGCTGACTACGAAGTATTTGCGAGGAGTGGCCACATGGAGTGCCTGATTTGGCTAACCCTTCCGTCCTGTCCCAAGGGAAAGTGAGCGAGGCTCGTTGAAAACGAGGTTCTCGCTTCCATGTAGAAAGCCTGGCGATTCGCAATCAACGTTACGTACCAAAAGTAAAAACCCTAATATAAGCAAGCTAAAACGGGAACAGATGGGGGGAGGGAGGAACATTATATGCTTTCAAATGCCTCGTGGATAGAGGGGGATGAGAGTTAGTACGTCTACAGACATAGGACAAGAGAAAATAACGATTGAGTGGGAAATGCGACTGGAATACACGCCCAAAACAGTGTACCTTATGAGATATGATAAGTAGAGTCAGTGATATGAGTGTAATCCGACTCGGCAAATCCCATCTCTACTGCCAATCAAGCCGGAGCGAGTGCTTTTATGGCGGAATGCCATAAAGAGGAAGTTGTGTCTCAACATGGGATGCCTCGTGATAGTGTTACCAAGACAAATGCCATAATTTGAATGTTAAATTTTATTAGCCGAGGATATAGGATGCAGTCGAGGTCGGCAATAGACAGCCTGTGAAACGCATACTGTGAAAGTGGTGGTAACATGAGTTACACGGATGGGGCCATAGGACGCAGGCTTTTAACCCCAAACCTTAACACAAGGAAGAAATTAACCAAACAAAGCCTGCTTAAATAGAAGTAACAAGGAGCCTTGAAGAGTAAACCCAATCCTGACTACCTACCATCTCCCTACCTGGTATTATTAAATGTAACAAAAGGTCGTTATTGGGATACCTTAAAGGCATAAAAAGGACGATGCGTACCGCGTGAGTGGCATGAAACATGTAAGAGACTGGAGAGTTGTCCAGGATGACAATTTGATCGATAGGGCGACCAATTTGAGCCAGGTCTTTAACGTAGTTGCCACGGTGATACACACAGGCTTCACGGAAAAGCCGATACCGGAAAACGTTCCACTTGTCGAGGAAGTCCGCCACGGGATCGGCATACTAAAAAGAAGTAATTTAAAACAACATAAGTTTTTTTTTCATTAATTCAAAGGGAAATTTTTTGTGCAAAGTGTATGGAAAAACAAACCCAATGTGAAAAAAATGGTGAGTGCGAACGTCCAAGGATGGGTTGGCAACTTTAAATAAATAGAAGCGCCCTGAACTTTCAATATTTCATGGACAACTTATTTAACATGGCATAGGAAACACAATCCGGCAAAAGTAGCTAATGTAGGCCCACTCATATACCCCTAGTCCCGGCATTTGTCCTGCAAAAACGGTGGTTATAGAGTTTG